TTAGTAGAGATGGGGTTTCAGCCTGTTGGTCAGGCTGGTCTGGAACTCCTGATTTCTTTTTTTTGTTGTTGTTTTAAATCTTTTTTTTTTAATTTTTTATTGCATTTTAGGTTCTGGGGTGGGTACATGTGCAGAACATGCAAGACAGTTGCATAGGTACACACATGGCAGTGTGTTTTGCTTCCTTTCTCCCCTTCACCCACATTTGGCATTTCTCCCCAGGCTATCCCTCCCCAGCTCCCCGCCCCCCGGCGGGCCCTCCCCTTTTCCCCCCAATAGACCCCAGTGTTTAGTACTCCCCTTCCTGTGTCCATGTGTTCTCATTTTTCATCACCCGCCTATGAGTGAGAATATGCGGTATTTCATTTTCTGTTCTTGTGTCAGTTTGCTGAGAATGATGTTCTCCCGCTTCATCCATGTCCCTACAAACGACACAAACTCATCATTTCTGATTGCTGCATAATATTCCATGGTGTATATGTGCCACATTTTCCCAATCCAGTCTATCATCAATGGGCATTTGGGTTGATTCCAGGTCTTTGCTAGTGTAAACAGTGCCGCAGTGAACATTCGCGTGCATGTGTCCTTATAGTAGAACGATTATAGTCCTTTGGATATATATCCAGTAATGGGATTGCTGGGTCAAATGGAATTTCTATTTCTAAGGCCTTGAGGAATCGCCACACTGTCTTCCACAATGGTTGAACTAATTTACACTCCCACCAACAGTGTAAAAGTGTGGAACTCCTGATTTCAAGTGATCCACCCACCTGAGCACTCTCAAACTGTTGGAATCACAGGCGTGAGCCACCATGCCCGGCCCTTGTTGCTTATTTTAATTTCATACTTGATCACCTTATCATTATTGTCTGTAGTGATTTTTCAGTTGACTCTTAAATTTCTTGAAAACTTGCATCTGATCTGTCTCCAATTTTTATACTTCTTTCACTTGTCTAATTATATTATGGTACCTCCTCAAAAATTTTAATAGTGTTGACAGAGAAGAACAAGAATGGCCACCAATGTAAATGGAAATACGGTGTTTTTTTTTTTTGGAGACAGAGTCTTACACTGTCGGTTAAGCTGGAGTACAGTGGCACTATGTCGGCTCACTGTGACCTCCACCTCCCAAGTTCAAGCAATTCTCCCGCCTCAGCCTCCCAAGTAGCTGGGACTACAGGCATGTACCGTTTGTGTATTTTTAGTAGAGATGGGGTTTCACCGTGTTGGCCAGGATGGTCTCGATCTGTTGACCTCATGATCTGCTGGCCTCAGCCTCCCAAAATTCTGGGATTACATGAATTAGCCACCACGCCCAGCCCATGAGAACTTTTAATGTTTCTGTGATTGTGCCTTTTTGCTTGAGGCACTGTTTTTTTAGTTGTTAAGGAACTAGTCATGTACTTTGACTTTAAAGGTTTTTTTTTTTTCCTAGAAGCGAATGTAGAATTGATACATTCTATTTCAGCATCTTAGAGAGATTGTCATATGGTTTTTCTTCCTTGACCTGTTAGTTGGTAAGTTACTGTGTGTTTGGAAAGACTCCCCCTTGGTTGTGGCATTGTAGTGGTAACATGCTGCTGGGGATTCCATTTGCTAATATTAGTATTTTCTCCGTAGATCTCATAAGTGAGATTGGCCTATAGGTTCGTGTGTACTTCTGATATCCTTAACAGATTTTTTTTTACATATATAAACATGATTCTGACTTTATAAAAAGTTTAGAAGTTTTTTGTTTTTTGTTTTTTTTTTGAGATGGAATTTCACTCTGTCGCCCAGGCTGGAGTGTGCAGTGGTGCAGTCTTGGCTCACTGCAACCTCTGCCTCACAGGTTCAAGCAATTCTCCTGCCTCAGCCTCCCAAGTAACTGGGATTACAGGCACGTGCCACTACTCCCAGCTAATTCTGTATTTTTAATAGAGACAGGGTTTCACCATGTTGGTCAGGCTGGCCAAACTCCTGACGTCAGGTATCCACCTGCCTTGGCCTCCCAAAGTGCTGGGATTACAGTGTGAGCCACCACGCCTGGCCAGAAGTTTTCTTTATTTCTTTGAGGGTTTCTTTGTTTTTTTTGTTTTTAGAGTCTATGGAACGAGTGCATTCTTTGACATTTTGAATATATTCTGTAGAATTAAAACAGACTGTTGTTCTACTTTCTCTTAATCTGTGACTCGTTATGTTTTTTCCCCCTTTTTTCTTGATTTGAACTAACCACTATCTGTCTTCCCTCCTTCCCTTCCCCCACTTGTTTTCCTTCCTCCTCCTCTACCAAAGAAACAGCTTCTTCTCTTCTACAAGTCTACTTATATGTTTTGAAGAGGTTATTGTTGTTGACATGTTCTCTTACCTAATCTTCCATTTCGTCTATGCCTTACTCTGGCTGTTTTATTCTGACCTGGCTTTCAATGCACTAATTTCTCTCTTCAACTATATTTACTTAAAATGCTATCTATCTAGCCAGTCTTACTGTATTTTTCCATTCTGGAACTTGCATTTGATCTTCTACTTCTTGGATACAGTTCTCAATCTAGTCTTTGATTTCTCTAAACATGCTAATTGTTATTTTAGAATTCATGTTGATAACTTCACTGTGTGAAACCTCTGTAGGTTTGTTGCTGTTGTCTGTTACTTCTCTTGTTATGGTTTTCTATTGTTGCCTTAAGTTGTTGTTTGACTAGTTATTTTTGATTGCGTGTAAGTCATCGTATACGAAAATTTTGAGATTCTGTGTGATGTTATGTTTCTCTATAGAGGACCTTAATTGGTTTCTTGAAGAAGAGTAAAAACAACAGCACCTCACATTCAGGGAGTTAAACTCTCTATGCTGGGCTTCAGTTCCCAGGTGGTCCAGGTCCAGTTTGCCGCCTTTACTTCAGTGGCATAGTCTTCAGGGACTCACACTAAAGCCTGAGGTTCACCATCTCCTTTCTTCTAGGGACTTCCTAGGGGAACTGTTGTTACCAGTGTGGCATGTATCCTTCCAGGTCTTCTCTTTGAATTTGTATGTATCCATGGGCACATACGTGTGTGTACCTATGCATACTTTTAGAAATGATTTTGTGTCTTGCATGTTTTAAGTAAATAACATCATTGTATGTATGATTTTGTAACTCACTTTTCTTGACTTAATGGCATTTCTTGGGTGAGCTTTCCATTTCATTACAGATTGAGCTACCTCTTTTTTTGGTGGGGATAGTCGTAGAGTATTTTGTAGAACAAATAAGTAATAGTTTATTTAACCATTCTCTTGGGGACAAAGTTGAGAGTGTCTCTAGGTTTTTTTCTGTGTATGCTGAATATTCTTGTATATGCCCTATTTAGATACATGAGGGTTTATAGAACAGTATGAAAAAGTGATGACAGATTATATACATTTTTTATTTTAATAAATACTGCCAAATTGCTCTCCTAAGTTCACCAGCAATAAGTGATAGTATGAGTTCTCACACATCGGCCAAGCACAGTGGCTCAGGCCAGGCACAGTGGCTCACGCCTGTAATCCCAGCTCTTTGGGAGGCTGAGGTGGGCTGATCACCTGAGGCCAGTAGTTCAAGACCAGCCTAGACAACAGGGCAAAACCCTGTCTCTACTGAAAATACAAAAATTAGCTGGGTGTAAACGTGGGCGCCTGTAATCCCAGCTACTCGGGAGGCTGAGGCAGGAGAATTGCGTGAACCTGGGAGGTGGAAGTTGTAGTGAGCTGAGATCACGCCATTGCACTTCAGCCTGGGTGTCAGAGTAAGACTGTCTCAAGAAATTAAAAAAAAAAAAGGATTTTCACACGCATCCTCACCAATGCTTGGTATTATCTGATTTAAAAGTTTGCTAATATTACAGGGGAAAAAGATACTGTCTTGTTTTAAATTTTAGTGAGACTTAGATTATTTGTATATGTTTTTTGAACATTTCTTATTCTTCTGGTGTGTTAACAGTCTTTCATTGTTTTCTCTGCTGTGGAGTTATTTTTGTTGTAGTGGTCTCGGGTTAAATTATAATTCATGGTGGGGTGCAGTGGCTCACACCTGTAATCCCAGCATTTTGGGAGGCCAAGGGAAGCAGATCACTTGAGGCAGGGAGTTTGAGACTAGCGTGGCCAACATGACAAAACTCTGTGTCTTTTAGATGCAGAAAAATTAGGCTAGACACGGTGGCTCACACCTATAATCTCAGCTCTCTGGGAGGCAGAGGCGGGCGGATCACAAGGTCAGGAGATCGAGACCATCCTTGATAACACTGTGAAACGCTGTCTTTACTAAAAATACAAAAAATTAGCTGGGTGTGGTAGTCCCAGGTACTCTAGAGGGTGAGGCAGGAGAATCACCTGAATCCGGGAGGCGGAGGTTGCGGTGAGCCAAGATTGCTCCACTGCACTCCAGCCTGGACGACAAAAAAAAGGAAGAAAAAGCAACACAAAAATTAGCTGGGCATGGTGCCACATGCCTGTAATCCAGCTACTCGGGAGGCTGAGGCACAAGAGTCACTGGAGCCCACGAGGCAGAGGTTGTAGTGAGCTGAGATCGCACAATTGCACTCCAGCCTAGGTGACAGAGGGAAACTGTCTCAAAAATAAAAATAAGTAAAATAAAAATAAATTACAATTGAAACTGTATCTCAAGCTTTAATCTAAGAATGGGTACTTTGATTCTTACAGATGCTATACAGTGTGATCAGATTTAAATGTTAAGATAAAGAATAGGTAGGTATTGTTAAAGAGAGTGTGTTTTTGTTTCTTTCCTATCCTATCTCGGAAGCTCAGTATAAGTACATAAGGAGGGATAGGCATAGGAAAGAAACTGAATTATTATTATTAAAATTTCATTTTTTCTTAGACACATAAACCTCAGACATCACGACCCAATCTCATCAAACCAGCTGCCCAGTGGCAAGATCTGAAAAGATTGGGAGAAGAAAGGCCTAAAAAGTCTAGAGCAGCATTTGAATCAGATAAAAGCCGCTATTTTTCAGTGTATAACAACCCATTGTTTGATTCTGGGGCACAGGATGATTCTGAGGATGACTACGGTGAATTTCTGGATCTTGGGCCTCCTGGAGTCTCTGAATTCACTAAGCCAAGTGTCCAAACAGATAGAGAACCCAATCCTGGACCGAGTCGTAACCAAGCAGCAAATGACATTGTCAGCCCCAGATCAGAGCAGAAAGTAGTCATCTTGGAAGAAGGTAGCCTTCTTTACACAGAAAGCGATACTTTGGAAACTCAGAACCAGTCATCCGAAGACTCAGAAACAGAGCTGTTATCAAATCTGGGAGAGTCATCTGCTCTGGCAGATGATCAGGCCATCGAAGAAGACTGCTGGCTAGATCATCCTTACTTCCAGTCTCTGAACCAACAGCCCCGTGAGATAACAAACCAGGTTGTTCCTCAGAAACGGCAGCCTGAAGCAGAGTTGGCCCGCTTGTTGTTTCAACATGAATTCCCCGGGCCAGCTTTTCCAAGGCCAGAACCCCAGCAAGGTGGGATTTCAGGCCCCTCTTCTCCTCAGCCTGCCCATCCTCTAGGAGAGTTTGAAGACCAACAGTTAGCAATTGATGATGAAGAGGCAGGTCCAGCCTTTCCAATGCAAGAATCTCAAGAGCCGAATTTGGAAAACATCTGGGGCCAAGAGGCTACAGAGGTAGATCAAGAACTTGTTGCACTATTAGTGAAGGAAACGGTAAGTTTTATTTAATCAAGTAAATAATTGTAAATACTACATATACTGATTGATTTTTTTTTTTTTCATTGCAAAAAAAAAAAGAAGTTTGTATATGTGGACTTCATTTTCTTTAGAGGTATATATCTAGATATACAGAATAGAAGAGAAATGCTGAAGACTTGACAATGGAATCAGCCTTTCTTTACTATACTTAACCTTTCAGGAAGCTCTCTGCGATTCTAACTTCATACCGTGGTTGTCTAGTGCTGTCATACCTGCAGTCCCTCGTTTTTTTCAAAGGCCTTGAGTTCACTCCAATTGCAAACCCTTAAAGCAGGTTTATTGAATTACCTAGACCTATCCTATGGCAGTCACTAGCCCCTTGTGGCTGTTTACATTTAAATGTCTTACCGTTAAATAAAATTACAACTGGCAGTTTCCATTGGCACCAGTCACCAGTCACATCTCATGTAGCCACATGAGGCTGACAGCTTTACCTCATCATCAAGCATAGAGGAGAATGTTTCTGTCATCATACAGAGCTCTTTTAGTGCTGATACTAAGCGTAACACAAGGTATTAAATCCAGTAGCCACTGTTTCCCTTCCAACAAGTCCCTTAACCCTGCTTTACCCAGGTGTTTTTGGTTTGTTTGAGATGGAGTCTCGCCCCATCACCCAGGCTGGAGTGCAGTGGCGCAGTCTCGGCTCACTGCAACCTCCGCCTCTTGGGTTCAAACGATTCTCCTGCCTTACCCTCCCTAGTAGCTGGGATTACAGGCACCTACCACTACGCCCAGCTATTTTTGAATTTTTTTTTTTTTTTTTGGTAGAGACGGGGTTTTACCACGTTGGCCAGGCTGGTTTCAAATTTCTGACCTCAGGTGATCCACCCCTCTCGGCCTCCCACTGGGATTACAGGTGTGAGCCACCGTGCATGGCCGCCCAGGTGTTTTTTATCTAGCCACTAGATTGGTGCTGCTTGAGGACCCTTATGGGATTGTGCCTTATTTGTGTTTCGATTTCCTTTGCCTAGACAGCTGCTCAGTATTTGTTGAAACAATAATGAGTGGATCTGTAACATGGGGACAGAGAACCAGATCTCGAGACCTTTCTAGACCTTGTCTTCTGTGTAGACAGCTTGATCTGGGAACGAGTTTTGAACTTGAAGACACACACAGACCTACTACACAGCCCTTTTCTAATCTTTAGTCATTTTATTATACTTTTTGCCATCTGTCTTGTATTGCCATTTGAAACCATTCTAGTGAATGAAATGTAAATTATGTTCTCATTTGTTTCTAGGAAGCAAGATTTCCAGATGTAGCAAATGGGTTTATTGAGGAGATAATTCATTTGAAGAATTATTATGATCTGAACGTGTAAGTATACTACCATCGTTTTTTTGTTGTGGTGGTGGTAAAATATATATAACATAAAATTTGTCGTTTTAATCATTTTTAAGTATACAATTCAGTGTTAAGTAAATTCACATTATTATGCAACTATCACCATCATCCATCTCCAGAACTCTTTCATCTTCTCAAACTGAAACTCTGTCCCCATTAAACACACTCCCCATTCCTCTCCCCAGCCAGTGACACCCACCATCCTACTTTCTGTCTTCATGGATTTGGCTACTATCAGGGACCTAGTGTATTTGTTCTTCTCTGACTGGCTTATTTCACTTGGCATTATGTCTTTTTTAGTGACCCTGTTCATTCTGACATTAGTCATATACACACTGTTTTCTGCATCTTATGGAATATTGCATGGTTATAGAATTATGAGGCTGATTTTCTGAGCATTGATACTACCTGTGTTTTAGTCAAGATGTTCAAATACATTTTCTTCCCTAGAATTGTAACAAAAAATATTCCGCAACCACTCTGTTTGGAGAAATACGTGGAAGCATTTCTTAATTTTTATTATAAAAGGGGTAAATCTGGGCCAGATCCCAGCACTTTGGGAGGCCGAGGCAAGAGGAGTGCCTGAGTCCCTGAATTTAAGGCTGCAGTGAGCTATATTCCTACTACCGCATGCCAGCCTAGATGACAGAATGAGACCATATCTCTATTAATACATACGCTTTTTTAAAAAGTGAGTCTTCCTGAAGATTATAAAAGGAAAAATAAGTCATACTCTTCTCCTTCCTCTGATCTGCAAAGGTGAAACAGTTGTGTAAAAAAAAAAAATTTTTTTTTTAAGATGGAGTCTCATTCTGTTGCTCAGGCTGGAGTGCAGTGGGGCAGTCTCAGCTCACTGAAATCTCAGCCTCCCGGGTTCAAGCAATTCTCCTGCCTCAGCCTCCTGAGTAGCTGGGATTATAGGCGCATGCCACCATGCCCGGCTAATTTTTGTATTTTTAGTAGAGATGGGGTTTCACCATGTTGGTCAGGCTGGTCTTGAACTCCTGACCTCATGATCTGCCCTGCTCGGCCTCCCAAAGTGCCGGGATTACATGCTTGAGGCACCACACTCAGCCTAGTTGTAAATTTAAACAAAATAGACAGTTCACCAAACACCTTTCCTCAAAGTTCATGTCTCATACTAAAACTGTCAGTCAAGGGTGCAGGTGAGTTTCTTCTCTGCCAATGGTGAGAAGGAAGGGTCCCTTTTCAGGTACTTAGCCCAATGTAGGTACTTTTTTCTAATTTGTACAATGACACTGTTGGAGCTGTTAGTGGCCTTGTCTGATCCCACCACCTCTGTACAGAGGCAACCACTGTCATCAGATATTTATTTATTTATTTATTTATTTATTTATTTATGAGACAGAGTCTTGCTTTGTTGCCCAGGCTGGAGTGCAATGGTGTGATCTTGGTTCACTGCAACCTCCCGCGTATAAGTGATTCTTCTGCCTCAGCCTCCTGAGTAGCTGGGATTACCGGCATGCAACCTCACGCCTGGCTAATTTTTGTATAGAGATCTTGTTTCACCATGTTGGTCAGGCTGGTCTCGAACTCCTGACCTCAGATGATCCAACTACCTTGGCATCCCAAAGTGATGGGATTATAGGCATAAGACACCACGCCCGGCCTGTCATCAGATTTAAACAGAACTGCATTCAGGTTTCTTAGTGTATCTATCTCTTTAGCCTCTTAATTTCACTTACTTTTTTAAAAATATCATTAACTTTCCCCATCCAGCAGTTTCAAATATAAAAAGTTGAAAGACTGTGCAATGAATACCATGTGTCTACCATCTAGATTACTATCTGACATTCTGCTGTAAAGATTTTTACTTCGTCTTAAAAAAAAAAATGTTACTGTGGACTTAAGAGTTTTTAAGTGTTGTTTTAGATCAGTCACAATCATTTTCTTTTTGTTACTGAAATTGTCCCAGATATGACCAGCGGTGTCTTTTGGTCTGATGCCTTTAGTCTTTGAGTACTTCCTTGCTTCCTAATATACCTTGTTGTCCCAGGCTTACCTTGAATTCTCTGCCCAGAACCTGAAATCATTCTCCGAGAGACCCAGCTTTCTTAGAATGAGGATTGATATTTTTAAACGTCTCAGGGCTAGATGTGCTCACCATTGCTACTGGCGTGTCATCTCTCTAGGTCCTTTCAAGGGACAGACCAAGGAAATATTTTGGTTGGTAGTTGTTTTTTGTTTGTTTGTTTGTTTGTTTTTGAGATGGAGTCTTGCTCTGTCACCCAGGCTGGAGTGCAGTGGTGTGATATCAGCTCACTGCAACCTCTGCCTCCTAGGTTTAGGTGATTCTCCTGCCTCAGCCTCCTAAGTAGCTGGGATTACAGGCGCCTGCCACCACACCAGGCTAATTTTTGTATTTTTAGTAGAGACAGGGGTTTCACCATGTTGGCCAGGTCTCAGACTCCTGACCTCATGTGATCCACCCGCCTCAGCCTCCCAAAGTGCTGGGATTACAGGCGTGAGCCACCATGCCCTGCCCGGTAGTTGTTTTTTAAATCAAAAATTCATACTCATTATTTCCAATTCAAATTTAACATGAAGGTTTTTTTCTTAATCTTTTTTTGAGACAGAATTTTGATTTGTCGCCCAGGCCCAGGTTCAAGAGATTCTCTCTCCTACCTCAGCCTCCCTATTAGCTGGGATTACAGACATGAGCCACCACACCAGCAAATTTTTGTACTTTCAATAGAGACGGGGTTTTGCCATGTTGGCCAGGCTGGTCTTGAATTCCTGACCTCAGGTGATCCACCTGCCTCAAACTCCCATAGTGCTGGGAATATAGGTGTGAGCCATGCACCTGGCCTTTCCTTAAGCTTTATAAATTTTACTTAACATGCTTCTCAGTAAGGCAAAACCGTTAAGCACATAGGCTACCAGGCCATAGATTGGTGATATTGATCAGTTCTAGAAATTTTGTAGCTATTTCCTGTCTTGTGTAACTTCACCCACATCTTCCATGTCTCTAAATCCACCTCTTTGAACTCAGCTCACTGCAACCTCTGTCTCCCAGGTTCAAGCGACTCTCCTGCCTCAGCCTCCCGAGTAGCTGGGACTACATGCACGTGTCGCCATACCCAGCTAACTTTTTGTATTTTTAGTAGAAATGGGGTTTCGCCATGTTGGCCAGGAAGGTCTCCATCTCTTAACCTCGTGATTCGCCTTCTTGGTCTCCCAAAGTGCTGGATTATAGGTGTGAGCCACCACACCCGGCCCAAGTGTAATCTCTTTTTAACCCATCCACTGTGTTACTGTATTTCAGTTATGTTATTTTAGCTTTTAATTCTCTTGGTTATTTTCCTAGAGTTTTACTCTGCCTGTATTTTTAATTCTTTTTGTTTTCTTTAAACAATAACATACCTTCTCTTCTTTTTTTTTCTTATTGTTTACAAATAGTTGGTATTTTCTCAAACAATAACAGCTTCTATGTGAGTTTGATTGTTCTGATGTATTAGGTTCTTGGGAATCGTATTCCGTGTTTCCTGCTGGCTCCCATGGTGCCTTGCTCTCTTGTGTTTTCTAAGTTTGACTGTAAGCTCACGTGTTGAGGTCTTGATAGAGTTGGTTTCTTTAGAGAGGATTTGCTTTTGCTTCCTGCAAGTCCCCAGAGGCATGTTAAGTAAAATTTATAAAGATTAAGGAAAGGCCAGGTGCGTGGCTCACACCTGTAATCCCATCACTATGGGAGGCTGAGGCAGGGGGATCACCTGAGGTCAGGAGTTCAAGACCAGCCTGTCATGCTTCTTTCAAGTCCCCAGGGGCAGTGTTAGTTTGAAACTGCTTTAGATTCCTGTCTTGAAGTTTTTGCATTACTCACTTTTTTTTTTTTTGAGACGAAGTCTTGCTCTCTTGCCCAGGCTGGAGTGCTGTGGTGCTATCTCGGCTCACCGCAGCCTCCATCTCCCGGGTTCAAGCGATTCTTCTGCATCAGCCTCCCACCACACCCAGCTAGTTTTTATATTTTTAGTAGAGCTTTATTTTTTATAGCAGTTTTAGGTTTACAGCAAAAGTGAGCAGTGATGACTACCTTTTTTACAATGAAATATTTCTTGTAGGCTTCCAGTCATCTAAAAAGCAACTTATATGTGTGGATTGCTTTAACAGTTCTTCAACAGTACTGAATTAGGATGTTATTTTTTTGTAGTTGTTAACTAGGCATAAGGTAGTCTAGGTGACATATCTTTGGTAATTGGCTGTGTTTTTCATATATTTATTTACTGATTGTATCTCCCTTGCATGTGAATTGTTTACTTCTCTCTTTGAATTCCTTTTTTTGGGCGGTGTTTTTCTAGTTATGAAATAATACGTGTTTAATTACAGAAAATGTAAATGATAGAAAAAGTATAAACTTAGCTTATTTATATAATAGTGATTTGAATGCCAGATACCATGTTTTAGTATTTTTTAACAACTTAACCTCATATAAATTGAGTATACTTTAATACTTCCCTCCCCTTCTGTGAATGAACATGTTTTAAATATATCTTCAAGATTATCTGTAAAAATCACTAAAATATAGTCAAATTGACACCTGTTAACAGTTCTGTTCTCCTACTTCCTAAGTCTCACACATGCACTTATTTTTAGGGACTTGCTGACTCTCTGTGCTTTTTGCGTCACTCAGAAGCAAACATTGATCCTTAAACACATAAAAATTCCCATGAAATTGAAAAAGCAAGGGAATGTGCAGTAATTGTATTGCATCTTTTCAAGCCAATCTTGTTTTCCTGACACTGCTTTTCTTTCCATTAGTCCCTGGGCTCCTAGGACAATGTTAATTTCACAACTAAACTAAAATGTTGTTGATGTAATCTGGAAGTGAGGCCCAAAGCTGAGTAGAGCAGGCTGGGATTTTGTTGTAGCTCAGTCTCAGTTGCTTTATGTGCGTCTTTAAATGACCTTCAGATGGAACCATCTGGCCTTTTCTGTCACCAGGCAGGAGTGCAGTGGTGCCATCTTGGCACACTGCAGCCTCCACCTCCCAGGTTCAAGTGATTCTCCTGCCTCAGCATCCCAAGTAGCAGGGATTATAGTCATGTGCCTCCACACCCAGCTAATTTTTGTATTTTTAGTAGAGACAGGGTTTCACCATGTTGGCCAGGATGGTCTCCATTTGTTGACCTTGTGATCCACCTGCCTCTGCCTCCCAAAGTGCTGGTATTACAGGCATGAGCCACCGTGCCCAGCATCTGGCCACTTTAAGCAGCGAGGGCCTATTCATCAGAGAACTTCACATGGCAGGTAATATATTCTGGCTGGTTAACTTAGACCTTTCACTCACACGTGGTCAACTTCAGCTGGATGAAGGCAGCAACAACTCTCAGAGTTGCAGTGTTGGATTAGTAGCCTGACTTACTTTTACAGGAGTGCCTTCTCTAGATCTGCTAGCATGTCAGGTCAGCTCAAGCATGAGATCACGTGAAGAGCTGGACAGGTTGAAGTTTAACCCAGGCTTCCCCACTGCTTTTGCCCCGGAGTGCAGATATTAGAACAGAGGCTACCACTTGTTTCTGTAGAAGAAAAACTTTGTCCTTTATTTTCTGTGCCTCCAAATGTCACTTAACCTTCAGAAGAATTCCATTGGTAAGCATACTGAAGGGATTAAACTAGAAGTGAATTTTGACAGTTTCTAATGAGAGCTTCTGATTTCTGCTGTGTGGAACTTCATATCTATAACATTTCAGTATCTGAAGTTCTTAATATTGTTGAAAATACGAATTGGGAAGAGATGACCCTCTCAAACATGTTTTGTTTTGTTTTGTTTTGTTTTGTTTTGTTTTGTTTTGTTTTGTTTTGTTTTCAAGAAATCATATCTACTATTTCACCTGTATATCATCTAGGGGTGTACTTATGTATCGTGTAATTGAGAAAACACATAAAAACAGACAATTTTAAAGCTAGTCTGTGTCTGGTTTGTAACCATGTTGAATATGCACACGTAATGAGTTGTCTGGAACTCAGGCCTTTCCCCACAGACGGGATTTTTGCTGGTGGCTAATTCTCAGGTCAGCCTTCAAAGATTTGCATAACCTTAGTGCACACTAGTAAATTCTAGGACAGGGAATTACCACTGATGACAGTGGTTTTAAAGGAAAATGTACTCAGAATTCTTATCTCTCTGTAATAGGAGGAGGATGCTGCTTTTTTCTCTGTTTGGGCCTCTGACGTTGTGTTCTGTAGACTGGGCAGGCTGTGGTGGTAGGGAAAGTGGGAGCTTAGAGATAAAAAGCATATGGGACTCGTGGAAATAACAACAAAGGGAAATGCATTGAGTTGTCAGGATGAGGGAGAGGGCTTTGACATGGGGCCCTGGCAGGGGTTGCAGAATAAACGAACTTCTCCAAACCATTCCCCAAACACTGGCACCTGGGTGAGAAAAGGAGCTGGAGCTGGGCACTTTTTCTCTCCTCCCTTTTCTGCCAGACCTCCTACCCTACTATTATAGGCCTTACTATTGACATCTGGCAAAAGAGAACTGGTAAAAAGGGAGATGTGTGAGAATTGCAAGTGTGACACCTACAGGGCTCATCCTAGGAATCTCCTGGAGTAGGAGGAAGAAGTAGAGAGAAGAGGAAGTTCGCATTACCCTCTGAGCAAAGAAGCTTCCTTGCTACTGAATGTGGCTAGAGCTGCACGCCACCCACGCTGTCTTTACTGCTGTGCAGTCATTCCAAGGTGGTTGTCTGATTTGACTGTGAACAGCGTGGATAGTTAATATTTGTTGGGTCTGGGTGGTGATACATCATTGTGTGTTATCTCCCGCTGTATATCCTTACTTTGGAAGTATTTCACGATGATAATAGACAAAGCTAGTGGGTTTGTTGTGAAGAGAGTCTGTTCATAGGAAAACATGATCTATTCATCAGCCTGGCCTAGCAGTTAGTTAAATAAACCAAGTGTAACTCAGATGGCTCATAGGGCTTTATCTTACCATAGAGTTTTATGTCACCATAGTGGTATAAAAAGTATTAATGAATGAACAGAAGGTCTTTTATATTTGATTTATTTATTACATCTCTTAACAGACTATTTTTTATTATAAATGTGAATACACAGGTTCCCACTTCTTGTTTGTTCATAGTTTTCTTGACAAACAGTAGCTACTTTTACACATTTACAGTTTCATAGTTTAACCAATAATAGTTTCAGTGACTTCATTACATCAACACCCAACTGATAGATAAGAGGATTTTGTTTTCATCAGTATGTTCATTGCTTTTTAAATTTTTTATCTTTCCCGAAGGTAGGAATTCAATACAGTTGTTTATTTATTTGTTTAGTTTTTCTGGGCTACCAACATCTTAATTTCTTGATAGGCCAGTTGTAATGTGTGACTAGGGGCTCTATTCTTCAGACATTGCATTTGAAGCAATGGGTAGGTGTGGGATTTGGAAGCAGTGTGAAAGTAACCTCGTTTGTTTTTGCAGACTTTGTAATTTTCTTCTGGAAAATCCAGATTATCCAAAGAGAGAAGATAGAATCATTATAAATCCCAGTAGCAGTCTGCTGGCCAGCCAAGATGAGACAAAGGCAAGTGTTGTGTTCTTGTCTTGCTACCTGGAAATGCCCTGCTGTTGTTGTTATCTCTGTGGGAAGAAAGTGCTTTGTTGGGACAAGTTTTTAAAGACTAGCAGAGGGATATAGGATTTGAGAATATATCTATACTTCAGTGGGATCTCCCAATCTGAGCCACTTTGAATTCTGTCTTTAACTCCTACCTTTCCATGTAATTCTTATCTTCCTTTTCCCACAAAGAATTAAACGAATCTTCCATATCTTTAATCCTATAAAGCAAATTCCTAAAGCTAAACAAGAACTGGCCAGGACTCTAACATTTTATTATGAAACTTTTCAAACCTAAAGGAAAGTTGAAACTTTTACATTGATTACCTATATACCCAACACTGGTACTACTAAAAGTTAACAGTTTACTGTATCCTCTTTATCATACCTCTGCCGTCGGTCTGTCCATCAGCACATCTTTGTTATGTTTCGTTTCATTATAATGTGTTTCAGAGTCAATTGCAAAAGCATCAATACACTTCCCTGTAAACGCTTCAGCATACATATCATTGCCTAAAGTTGAATCTCTTTTTTCTTTTGATGTGAGATTTGTATACAGTGTATACACCTGTTTAACCCAGATCTCATATCAAGATGTAAACAGTTTGGCTTTTAAAAACTGTAATTATTGTCATTATTTGTGATTCAAGCTGGCATTTAGTGTGTTATATGGTAAAGTATGGTTGAGAACTAATTTTATTAAGATCCGTTGCTTGATCTTCCAACTCCACACAAATTCTTTGACTATGTCTTTTACATGTTCTATAATAGGAAAAAAAAATAGTTGTTTGTAAAGATTTTATGGAAAGAAGGTGGCTGAAAGATTGGTTTAAATCCCCAATGATATTTCTTCACGAGTTATAACTAGTAAAACTAGTCTGTAGGCTCCAGATAGGGTTGTTGAACCTCTCTGAGCCACCATTTTCTCATCTCTCTTATAGGGCTGGTAACTTCCTTATAGAGTAATTAGAAAAAAATGAGGTTATTTTCTTGTACATGTAATTCTTAAAATGATTTTCCCTACATGAGAAATGTACTGTCTGGCCTCTAATTGTATGCTTCTCTCTCATTTCAGTTGCCTAAAATAGACTTTTTTGACTATTCTAAGTTGACTCCTCTAGACCAGCGCTGCTTCATCCAAGCTGCTGACCTCCTCATGGCCGACTTCAAAATGCTCAGTAGTCAGGACATTAAGTGGGCCCTGCACGAGCTTAAAGGACACTATGCCATCACCCGAAAGGTGCTCTACTTGGTCTTCCTGTTGGTGTCACACTTCTTGACTACATCTTCCCATGATAACAGAATAAACAGTTCAGCGTGTAGAAGTTGGGATTGTTTATGATTGCAGAGAGCTAAGGAATTTGTTAGAGTGAAGATAAGTAGATAGGTATTTGCTGATTAGGAAGGGCTAAATGAAAAGAAATAATAGATGAGAAGCAGAGAAGTTCTGGTTTGACCGTAAAAACACAGAGGGTAATACATTTTACTGTGGAATGCAGGAGTATGAAAGATGTGTTCTAATCTTGCTTCTTTCTGATTTGCTTTCTCACTTTGGACAAGTCACACTACCATCCATCCCCCAGGTGGCTCAGTTATCAGTGATACGACATAAGGTCTGTAAAGAGTTCAGGAACTCAGCAGTACCCCATCAGAAGAGAGTGGGCAGCTCCTGACAGCTCCCAGCATTTTGTCCCCAGGATCCTAAAGTAGATAGCACTTAAAGGCCTCTTAAGGGTGAAAAGGGTGCTGGTTTGTGGTGGATAACACAGACGTGTCTTTCCATGAAGCGCAGCACACAGTGCCCACTTTGTACACAGGAGCACACGCACCAGCAGAGACTTTGGCTTACTCCTCTTGGTCACCGTTACTGCCATTAAATGCTGTTCTCCTGCTGAAATTCTTGTGATTCTCAGCAAACACTGTGACTTTCTTTTGACCAAAGGATAAACAAATGTGGAGTTATCGTACTGGTTATCTCTGGGTCTTACCTGCAGGAAGGTAAGACCCAAGGACTATGTGGCTCATGCTGAGGTCTAGGCCAAGCCCCTTCCACCTTTTTTTTTTTTTTTTTGACATGGATTCTCATTCTGTCACCCAGACAAGAGTGCAGTGGCACAGTCTCGGCTCATTCCAGCCTCTGCCTCCCTGTTTCAAGAGATTCTCTGGCCTCGGTCTCCTCAGTAGCTCAGACTGTAGATGCACGCTACCACCTCTGGCTGATTTTTGTATTTTTAGTAAAGATGGGATTTCACCATATTGGTCAGGCTGGTAAGGCACCTTACCTCTTGTGATCCTGCCAGCTCACCCTCCCAAAGTGCTTGGATTACAGGTGTGAGCCACCACACCCAGCCAAAAAAAGACTTTGAGAGAAAAATAGAGGGGCTTTGAAAGGGTAAAACAGGTAACAACCTAAGGTAGATCAAGGGTCTCCAGAAGGGTCTCCCTGAGCAAGGGACCTTTAATCACAGACCCAAGTAGGAGTTTGGTGAAAGGGGGTTTGGAAGATGTTATTGTCATTTATTGGGTTGAGGACTAACTAGTATAAAAATCTTGTTTGAAGGGAAATAATTATGAATTCCGTCTTGTGAAACATTGGTTGCCAATGTACTAAGAAGGGCCTTGTGAGTAAAAAATAATTCATTGGCAGGTTGAATGGACTAAAAAGTTTGGAAAATACAGACAGTAGATAGAATTTTTTGGGGGGTATCTCCTTGAGTTTTATGGTGATAGGACTTTGAGAGTCATCAGCGTATGGAAAATAATCTCACCAGTCCGAATGAGATATCAGGTGAGAAGAGAGGACTCCTGACATGTAAAGACCAAGCAGAGGAGACAGGCAGACAGGAAGAGGGGAAGTTGAGAGAGTGGAGCAGTCTGTATCATCATCATCATCGTTACTGTTATTTAGAAACAGGGTCTCTCTCTGTCACCCAGGCTGGGGTACATTGGCACAATCATGGCTCGTTGCAACCTTGACCTTCTGGGCTCAAGCCATCAGATGTGCACCACCACACCTGGATGATCTTTTTATTTTATTTTTCGTAGAAATGGGGTCTTGCTAGATTGTGCAGGCTGCTTTTGAACTCCTGGCCTCAGGCTGTAATCCTGCCTCAGTCTCCCAAAGCGCTGGGACACCACCATGCCCAGCCTACGTTATTAAACACTGCTAAGAGTTTGTACAACATGAGGACTAGAATGCAGATGGTGGACTTGGTCACTCGGTACGAAGCATAGATGAGTAAGTACAAAGGCAGGGCAGATGCCAGATTAGAGACAGCTGGAAAGCTTGTGTACATGAGTGTGAGGTAGTAAAGCAGCAGACAGCTCCTTCTTTGATAAGTTTCTCTACAAAGAGGAGAAGAAGAAAGGGGCTGGCCTCGAAAGAGGGATGAGATCAAGGGAGAACGTATTTTCATTTTTTTAGGATGGCAAAGACTGGAGCACTTTTTCTTTCTTTTTTTCAGACCGAGTCACACTCTGTCGCTCAGGCTGGAGTACAATGGTGCTATCTTGGCTCACTGCAACCTTCAGCCTCCAGGTTCAAATAATCCTCCTGCCTCAGCCTCCCAAGTCGCTGGGATTACAGGCACCTGTCAGCAGGTGCCTGTAATTTTTTTTAGTAGAGATGGGGTTTTGCCATGTTGGCCAGGCTGGTATTGAACTCCTGACCTCAGGTTATACATTCATCTCAGCCTCCCAAAGTGCTGGGATTACAGGCATGAACCACTGCACCTGGCCTGAGTAGAGCACGTTTAAATGTTGATAAGAAAGATGTAAGAGGGAGAAGCTGAAGGTAGGAAAAGAAAAGGAATCCTCACTAGTGGGAGGATTTTGAACTCCAGCATGGTGTTGAAGGGTGGGGTGGATATAGATGCACGCAGAGAAGAGTGTGGGAGAAGCAGATTTGGGGAAAGTGAAGAGGAGCATTGGCCAGAGAAAGAACATGGAAGATTTGCCCATAGAATGGAACTCACCAGCCCATTGTCATCTGATTTTAACCTGTACTTACGCAAGGACAGCTTGGACAGTTTTGTTTTATATGAGACAGGATATAGTGCAGTGGCGCCATCTCAGCTCAGTGCAGCATCGCCTCTCAGGTTCAAGTGATTCTCCTTCCTTAGCCTTTGAGTGGCTAGGACCACAGCTGTGCTCCACCACACCTGGCTGTTTTTTTTGTATTTTTAATAGAGATGGGTTGTCCCCCTGTTGCCCAGGCTGGTCTCAAATTCCTAAGCTCAAACGATCCGCCCCACTCAGCCTCCCATGGTGCTAAGATTACAGTTATGAGCCACTGCACCCAGCCAACAGATTTTATTTTCCCTAGTCACTTTCTAACCTGTGAGTGTTTTGCTTCCACCACTGTACCAATTTATGAAAGTCAGAGAAATGAAAATAATATTTTGCCACTGCCTTTTTATTTGTTGGTTTGTTTTTTGAGGCACAATCTCACTCTGTTACCCAGGCTGGAGTGCAGTGGTGCAGTCTCGGCTCACTGCAACTTCCCCCTCCTGGGTTCAAGTGATTCTCCTGCCTCAGTAGGAGTAGCTGGGATTACAGGCACGCAGCACCCCACCTGGCCAGTTTTTCTATTTTTAGTAGAGACGGAGTTTTGCCATGTTGGCCAAGCTCGTCTTGAACTCTTGACTTGAGGTGATCCACCCGCCTTGGCCTCCCAGAATGCTGGGATTACAGGCGTGAGCTACCAGCCCAGCTGCCACTGCCTGTTCTTGTTAGCCGTGCTGGGAAGAAAGTTGAAACTATGTTAAATGGCATTTTTGGATTGCCTGTTTCATGTATTCTTATTTTCCATTTATGGAGGTAATCTTTCCCTTTCTCAATTTTCAGGCCTTTTCCGATGCCATTAAAAAATGGCAGGAGCTATCACCAGAAACCAGTGGAAAAAGGAAGAAGAGAAAAGAAATGAATCAGTATTCTTACATCGATTTCAAGTTTGAACAAGGTAATGCAAACTGTGTTGCTGGCAGTGTGTAGCTGCAACGCTGTACCTTTTCTTCCCACGGTCAGTGAAGAAAGTCGTGCTGCTGGTGTCTGCCGAGCATCTGACCAGGCCAGTCCAAGGAGTGACTGACAGGAACTATTTTCACAGCGCATCAAAATTTTTAGAAAGTGGCTGCACTTGTTGGCTTCCTTCTTCATACTTAAGATAAACTATGACAGAAAAACTTTGTGTGCTGTTAGAAAATTCATGTGTGGGAAGGTATTTTTGGGTGTGCTGTTAAGCTTGGGGAAAAAACTGGTCTTAAAGGCGTGGTGTTAATTGGCTGTATTATTAGGTGAAACCACCCAGACTTTTGAATGAGGGCTTACTGCAGAGGGTCATTTATGCACCTGAGAGGATGGCTAATAGCCACATGTTTCTCCAAAATTCTATCATTCTTATTGATGAAATCAGTGCTGGAAACTGTTTTGAAGAGGTTACTTCAGGTCTAATCCCCAAAAACGTAAACTTGTTTAGTTTTATAACAGATTTTTTCTGAGTTTACTACAACTTTTTCTAGAGATCATGCCATAAACAGGAACATTTCCCTTTCCTTTTCTCTTGTGTTTCTGTTACATGTGTACTTAATTACTGCACTTGATTTCAGGTATGACTAAGTGGAAACTTGGGTAACTATAAAGTTGGAAAGAATATGAATTTACTATGAACTCTTCAGTAGCGAAAAGAAAATCCCTTAGGCTATGACTCCTGAGGTTGCTAAGCCAATCTGTGCAGCAGTGGTCTGCTAACATGACGTTCCCCTGGCCTGTGGCAGAATGTAGAACTAGGGACAGTGTGCAGGTGGGTTTTCATTCAGCCGAGTTTATCCAGAGGTCACAACAGGCATCCTTGTGCGTAGCCATACAGCGTTTGTGTCTGACTTTAGTGGTGGAAAAAGTACTACTTTTCAAGATAGTTTACTCCCTTGTTGGTCAACTCTGTCTTTTAGACAGTTCTTCCTTTATATTAAGTCAGTATATGCTGTCCTCAAATGTCCTGCCGTGGTTGTAGTTCTTGCCTTCCACCACTGTACAGTGATAGAATCTGGAGAGACAGATTCTGGCTGTTGCCCCTTCGTCAGCCTGACTGCCGCCCCTTCATCAGCCTGACTGCCCTTCTGCCCTTCCCTGTGTGCCCTTCTCTAGCTTGTCAGCATCATTTTGAAAGTTGGGGTGAAGACAGGACATCATATTTTACATGAGGTCTGCTCCCATTCAGCCTTGGTCTTTTCACCCACATTTCTGTGAAGTCATACACCTCTAGGTTTTTCTGCATCTCACATTTTTCCCTGTAAACTTCATTTTATTTGGTTCAGTCCTTTGTTTTAGGAATAGCACTTTAATTCAGATGCTGATTCTTAAATTGTACATATCAGATACTCTTTTTTTTCTTTTGAGATGGAGTTTCGCTCTTGTTACCCAGGCTAGAGTGCAATGGCGTGATCTCAGCTCACCGCACCCTCTGCCTCCTGGGTTCAGGCAATTCTCCTACCTCAGCCTCCCTAGTAGCTGGGATTACAGGCATGTTCCACCATGCCTGGCTAAATTTTGTATTTTTAGCAGAGACAGGGTTTCTTCATGTTGATCAGGCTTGTCTTGAACACCCAACCTCAGGTCATCCGCCCTCCTCAGCCTCCCAAAGTGCTGGGATTACAGGCATGTGTCACCATGCCCTGCCATTATCAGATAATCTTTAAGGACCCTGGAAGCATTATATTGAAAATATTCTTGATTTATATTAGTAGTTTAATGTTTATGACTCACACTTAGCCTTTTTTAACAGCTTTTTATAAGGACATGGGCTAAGAATCCCTCATCTGCTCCAGGAATCCCATTTTTCTCCTTTTCGGTTTGTTTTCTATCTAAGCACTGCTCTTTGGGCTATAATTGCTTGACTCAAGAGTGAAACAGAGTTCTCTCTGCTCTGTCCTTTTTATGGTCATGCAGGAAAATGCATTAGAGGGAATTTTGTAGACCTAATTGCATTTATTTTAAAAATAAAGGACTGAAAATAACTCTTACTGCTTGAACATGGTAAACTGCAAAAAGAACTGAGTAAAGGCGAAAGAAAAATAGAAGGTGAAAAAATGTTTTAATTTATGGCATTGATAATTATAGTAATTAACATTTATTGAGTACTTAATATGTACCAGGCACTTTTCTAAGTGCTTTAATAGATTAACTTATGTTTCAAATAGCCTTATGAGATGTATGTGCCATTATTATCATTTTACAGAAAAAACTGAAGCACAGAGAAGTAAAGTAACTTGCAAGATGTTTCATAGCAAGTAGCCGACCTGGGAATCTGACTTCAAAGCTTGCTCTCTAAACATATGCGTTTCTATTCTTATAATATCAAAAACAGTGGGGTTTTTGTTTTTGGTTTTGAGTTTATTTTGTGTGGGGGGTGGACAGAGTCTTGTTCGTGTCACCCAGGCTGGAGTGCAATGGCGTGATCTGGGCTCACTGTAACCTTCTTCTCCGGGCTCAAGTGATTTTCCTGCCTCAGCCTCCCACGTTGCTGGGATTACAGGTGTGTGCCACCACGCCTGGTTAATTTTTGTATTTTTAGTAGAGATGATGTTTCACCATGTTAGATAGGCTGGTCTTGAACTCCTGACCTCAGGTAATCCACCTGTCTCGGCCTCCCAAAGTACTAGGATTACAGGCATGAGCCACTGTGCCAGGACCGAAAAAGTTTAAACTAATGAGAATGAGCAAGAGAAAAGGAGAATCAAAATAAAATGTATTGGGAACCAAATGGCAAATGTTAACATCAAGAGATGACCAATAAATTAAAAATCTAGATGAGATAAAGTTTTCTAGTAAAACATAAATTGGTCAGGTAGTGTGGCTCACACCTATAATCCCAGCACTTTGGGAGGCCTCAAGGCTGGTGGATCGCTTGAGCTCAGGACTTCAAGACTAGCCTGGACAACATGGCAAATTCCCATCTCTACAAAAGATACAAAAAAATTAGCTGGGCTTGGTGGCACCTGCCTGTATAGTCCAAGTTCCTCAGGAGGCTGAGGTGGGAGGATCTCTTGAGTCCAAGAGTTGAGGCTGCAGTGAACTATGAATGTGCTACTGCACTCCAGCCTGAGCAACAGAGCAAGACTCTGTCTCAAGAAGAAAAAAAAAATCATAAATTACCAAATCAGCAAAAGAAATACAAAACCTGAAGAGATCAATTACATATCGGTTATTTGTCATTCTGCTATCTTTTATTCTCATGTTACAATATATTGTGGTGAATATAGCCTCTATTCCTTCTGCCCCTTATATATTTGAATGCTTTCAAAATAAAAATGATTGAAAAACATTCAGCATATTTGCACCCACCAGAATGGGTAAAATTAAAAACTGATGATAGGTGTTGGTAAGGACATGGAGAGACTGGAACTCACGTGCATTGCTGATAGAGGAAGGGTGTAAACAGGTACAACGGAAAACTGTCGTTATTTTCTAGAGCTGAAAGTCAGCCTATCCCATGATCTAGCAATTCCCAGCTACATGGTGGACATACATTCACCAACAAATAGCTGTAAGCAGCACTATTCAGATTAACCCAAAATGATAAACCCATGTCCTCAGTAGCGAAATAGATAATAAGTTGTGGTATATTCACATAGTGCACTTCTGACAGGTAGGAGATGCCTTCCAATTGGAGCATAAACAGAGGGAAAAAAACCAGAACGAGCAAAGAGTGGGTGGTAGATTGGCAAATAGTATAAAGCTCAATCTTTCCAAATGGTAGAATGTGATACAGAAATCATGAAACATTGCCAGAGAGAAGGTGGAGGATGAGGCCAGGAAAAGTGGACATAGCTGGCCCAGATTCCTAACACACACTTGTCTGCATGCTTTTGCATCGTCATATATCTTCTAGGTGACATAAAAATAGAAAAGAGGATGTTCTTTCTGGAAAATAAGCGGCGACATTGTAGGTCCTATGACCGGCGTGCTCTTCTTCCAGCTGTGCAACAAGAGCAGGAGTTCTATGAGCAGAAAATCAAAGAGATGGCAGAGGTAGGAAGATGTGCTCTGGTCTTGGGATGTGTTTCTGGGATTCTAGTTTGCTCTCAGGGTTTAGTTAGTACAAAACTGTCTTTTAAGATTTCTCTTTTCTTTAGAGAGTGATTAACTTGGATATATAACAACATTTTTTAAATTAAAAAAAATACTGGGTTTTGTCATAATACTTATGTTTGTGGTTTCATAAATCAGATTTATGTTAGAAAATAGAAAATTTTAATTGTAGCTTTGTGTATCTCTTTCACCTCCTCCCTCAACCTCTAATGGAGAAAAACCAGAAAGAGATTCCATTTCTCTCTTAAATTTTTCTAAATATAGGATCAAATGTGCAAGTCAGCTGGAATGTATATATTGGTTGTTTAATAAGTATCTTCTAGACCAGTGGCTCTCAAAGTGTGACCCAGAGATCCCTGGGTTCCTCAAGACTCTTGGAGGTCTGGGAGGTCAAACCTCTCTTAACTATGCAAGACATTACAGTGACCCTTAAACAACATGAGGGTTAGGAGTGCTATCCCCCTGTGCAGTTGAAAGTCTGCATATATTGTTTGACTGCCCCAAAACTTAACTTCAAACAGCCTACTGTTGACAGGAAGCCTTACCCATATAACAGTCAATGAACATACTTGGTATGTTTTGTGTATTACAGGCTATATTTTTACATTAAGATAAGCTAGAGAAAAAAATGTTATTAGGAAAATATACTTACTGTTCATTAAATGGAAGAGTGGATCAGCATGAGAAGGTCTTTATCCTCGTGTTCTTCATGTTGAGTAGTCTGAGAAGGAGGGGTATGTTGGTTTTGCTGTCTCAGGGTGACAGAAGCAGAAGAAAATCAGCACACAATTGGGTCACCGTAATTTACACCTGTGTTGATCAAGGAAAACTATTTGCTTTTTCTCCGTATTGAATTTGTACCAGCAGAACAAAAGCAGTTTTCCCTTGGTGTGTATCAGTCAAGTGGCACAGAGCCATCCTCATAATCAGTTTTCTTCACCACCACGCTCTTACGTTTTTAAGACATACCAATTTCACCTAAAAATGTCTTTGATAGGCCAGGCAGGGTAGCTCACACCTATAAGGTACCAGTCATGCTTTGGGAGGCTGAGGAGGGCAGATCACGAGGTCAGGAGTTTAAGACCAGCCTGGCCAACATGGTGAAACCCCGTTTCTACCAAAAATACAAAAAAATTAGGAGGACGCCTGTAATCCCAAGTACTCAGGAGGCTGACGCACAAGAATCGCTGAACTTGGGAGGCAGAGGTTGCAGTGAGCCGTGATCAGGCCACAGCAGTCTAGCCGGGGTTGCAGAGCAAGACTCTGTCTTTGGGGGGAAAAAAGTCTTTGATAAAGCAGTAAAAATTATTTTACCAAATTTTGACCCTTGAAAACATCTTTTTAATATTCTATGTAATAAAATGAAATGCTTCTGCCACATTCCAGGATATGAAGCTTGTCTTATATCCAAGTACGGAAAAGTGCTTGTGCAACTGAGCCACAAAGCAGCTGCATTGGCCACTTTTTACTTGGAAAAAAGTGACTGACGGCAAAACTATGATTATTCAAAATTAGGTATTTGGCAGGCATTTTCTCAAAAATGAAGTGATCATTTTTGACCAAAATTCTAGATTTTTAAGCCGAAATTAGCATTTTTTTATTGTTTTCATTCATCTGTTACAGAATCACATTTATTAATATCACATATCTTATCAGATAAGTACTTAAAGTATTGGCAGATCAATGGATGTATTTTAATTGATTGTAGTCATTTATTTTTGGTGATGTTCACATTGTCCCATCTCTGGTTAGTGGCTACCCCTTCAAGTTGGTCTCTCTTTACCTGACCCCAGTAGTCTCTGACAACATCCTTGCCTTTGGGCACAGCAAGGTGAACCCTTGTTTCAAGTTCTGCTTTCTCTGACTTGGACTCAACAATTTCTCCAAAGTGCCGCCTTTGCCTTTTTTTCCTTTTCTCTTTTGACAGAGGATCCCCATGTGTCACCCAGGCTGGAGTGCAATGACGAAATCATGGCTTATTGCCTCAACCTCCTGGGTTCAAGCAATCCTTCCACCTCAGCCTCCTGAGTAGCTGGGACTACAGGTGTGTGCCACCACACCTCGCTAACTTTTTTTGTATTTTTTTGTAGAGCCTGGGTTTCCCCGTGTTGTCCAGGCTGGTCTTGAATTTCTGGCCTCAAGCTGTCCTCAGCCTCAGCCTCCAAAGTGTTGGGGTTACAGGCATGCATCACCATGCCCTGTCAACTTTATTTTTTTTTTCTCTATGCTAAAAATCTTGGTTCTTAATAACATGAATAACATTCTTATCCGATTATATCTGAGAATATAAAATTAAAATATTTTAAAGTCACTTGAAATAAGTCTTGGTGCTTATGCAATTAACTTGATAAACAAGTTTCTGGCCAGGCACGGTGGCTCACGCATGTAATCCCAGCACCTTGGGAGCCCAAGGCAGCTGATCATTTGAGACCAGGAGTTCAAGATTAGCCTAACCAACATGGCAAAAGTCCATGTCTACTAAAAATGCAAAAATTAACAGCATAGTGCCACACACTTGTAATCCCAGTTACATGGGAGGCTGAGGCAGGAGAATCACTTGAACCTGGAAGGTCAAGGTTGCAGTGAGCCAAAATCATGCCACTGCATTCCAGCCTGGGCAGCAGAGCGAGACAGTCTCAAAAAAAAAATGTGGTGGGGCTAGGCACAGTGGCATATGCCTGTAATCCCAGAACTTCCAGGTGTGGTGGTTCACACCTGTAATCCCAGTACTTTGGGAGGCCAAGGTGGGCCTCACCTGAGGTCAGGAGTTCGAAACTAGCCAGACCAACATGGAGAAACCCTGCCTCTACTAAAAATACAAAATTAGCCAGCTGTGGTGGCACATGCCTGTAATCCCAGCTACTCCGGGGGCTGAGGCAGGAGAATCACTTGAACTCAGGAGATGGAGATTGTGGTGAGCCAAGATCATGCCTTTGCACTCTATCCTGGATAACAACAGCAAAACTCTGTCTCAAAAAAAAAAAAAAAAAAAAAAAAAAAATCCCAGCACTTTGAAAGGCTGAGGCGGTGGATCATGAGATTAGGAGTTCAAGACCAGCCTGTCCACTATGGTGAAACTCTGTCTCTATTAAAAATACAAAAATTAGCTGAGTGTGGTGGCACAAGTCTATCGTTTCAGCTGCTCGGGAGGCTGAGGCAGGAGAATTGCTTGAACTTGGGAAGCGGAAGTTCTAGTGAGCCAAGATCACACCACTGCACTCCAGCCTGGGGACAACACCCATCTCAAAAAAAAAGGGGGGGGGGTGTTTCATGTTTCAGTTTATTTTCAACTTTTAGAGAATTTTTTTTTTTTTTTAGACCGAGTCTTGCTCTGTTGCCAGGCTGGAGCACAGTGGCACAGTCTCGGCTCACTGCAACCTCCATTTCCCGGGTTGAAGCAATTCTTCCAGCTCAGCCTCCTGAGTAGCTGGGACTACAGGCGCATGCCAAACACCCAGCTAATTTTTTTTTTGAATTTTCGTAGAGACAGGGTTTCACCATGTTGGCCAGGATGGTCTCAACTTCTTGACCTTTTGATCCACCCACCTCGGCCTCCCAAAGTGCTGGGATTACAGGCATGAGCCACCGTGCCCAGCCAAGAATTAGTTTTTTTAACTTGTAAATATTGTAATTCTGAAATCCAAACTATAAAACAAGGAATATTCAGAAAAACCTACCTTCTGTTTTATCCCTTTCTCCTATTTTCTGTTTTTGTTTGTTTGTTTGGGGTTTTTTTGTTATTGAGATGGAGTCTTGCTCTGTCACCTAGGCTGGGGTGCAGTGGCAGAATCTCGGCCCACTGCAACCTCTCACTCCCATGTTCAAGCAATTCTCCTGCCTCAGCCTCATGAATAGCTGGGATTAAGGCATGCGCCACCATGCCTGGCTCTTTTTTCTATTTCTAGTAGAGACAGGGTTTCACCATGTTGACAAGGTAGGTCTCGAACTCCTGTCCTCAAGTGATCTCCCGCCTTGGCTTCCCAGAGTGCTGGGATTACAGGCATGAGCCACTGCACCAGGCCCTTTACTTTGTTTATATATAACCATTATTGTTAGTCTCTTGTTTATCTTTCCTTATTTTCTGCGAAAGCAAATATGTATATGTATTTTTATATACCCATCTTTCTTATCCAGTTAGTAGCAGACTTTGCCAGGCCTGGTAGCTCACACCTGTAGTCCCAGCTACTCAAGAAGCTAAGGTGGGAGGATCTCTTGAACCTGGAAGGTTGAGGCTGCAGCGAGCCAAGATCTCACCACTGCACTCCAGCCTGGGCGACAGAGTGAGGTCCTGTCTCATAAACAAATTAATTTAGTTTAATCCCAAATGGTGGCAGACTCTTCTGCAACTGCATTTTTAATTTAACCATGCATCCTGGCAATTACTCTATAGCAATTCATAGAGATTTTTCTCTTTGCTATTTGAAACTGACTGGTATACTTTTTTATGTAATACCGCAGTTTATTCAGTCATTCCCCTAATGATGGGCTTTTAGGGTTGTTTTCACGTTTTTAGTATTATAAACAGTGCCATGATAAATAAATTTGTGCATACATCATTTCCTGTTTCTGCCCGGGTGCATCTTTGGGCTAGACTCTTGGAGGTTGCATTGATGACTCTGCCAGCTTCTGGCCAGTGTGATTGTCCTGCTTTGCATTCTCACCAGTAATAAGTGAGGGTGCCCACTGCCACACAGCCTTGCCAAAGAAGTCTGTTGTGAAACTTAGTTTTTTGTTTTGTTTTGTTTTGTTTTTTGAGAGAGTTTCAGTCTTCTTGTCCAGGCTGGAGTACAATGGTGCAATCTTGGCTCACTGCAGCCTCTGCCTCCCAGGTTCAAGCTCTTCTGCCTCAGCCTCTCGAGTAGCTGGGATTACAGGCACGTGCCACCATTCCCAGCTGATTTTGTATTTTTTGTAGAGTTGGGATTTCTCCATGTTAATCAGGCTGGTCTCGAACTCGTGACCTCAGGTGATCCACCCACTGCAGCCTCCTGCTTGTCTCAGCCTCCCAAAGTGCTGTAATTATAGGTGTGAGCCACACGCCTGGCCAAACTTAGTTTTTACCTGTTCAGTTTGTTGTTTGTTGATGCCATTCTTTGCTATTCAAAGTGTTTTATGTCTCAGCCTTTTTTCTTACTTATTCTACAGTTTCATACTTAAGAAAAATTGTTTTATATTTTCTAGCTCCCTGATCCACTTAAAATTTATTCCCAGGTGACTTTGTGAACTGCTAAACTATATAATTGAAGAGATAACAACACTGGAGTTATGTTTATGGAAATAAATACTAAATAGTGTCATCTTTACTAAATTTGTGTCTGAATATGTGCTTTATTTGTTCTTCAGCATGAAGACTTTTTGCTTGCCCTGCAGATGAATGAAGAACAGTATCAAAAGGTAGTTTGAAATCTCACCTTGTTTATTCTCGGCATTTTCATGGGCTGTTTTCTCTTACCACGTTCTCTCAGCATTTTTGATGGCAAAATTGTTTTTGAATAGCCTCCTATTGATCTGCTGAGTTAGCTCTGCCAAGTTATAGTCAGATACATGATCTAGTATAGTCACTTTTATACCACACCGAATCAGAATTGAAGGAAGTTAACAGATGTTCCTGTTAAAAATCATTACCTGACGTTCATCAGTAGCCTCATAAAGGAAAGTTGATAACTTAGGTGTCATTTAGAGTTAAAAGAAAGAGATGTATCTAACCTCAGGGCAAGATTGGTTTCTGTATGGTGTCTGCCACTCTCATATAGTGACCTTTTCTTTTTTTTTTTTTTTTTTTTTTTTCAGTTGGAGTCTTGCTCTGTCACCCAGGCTGACATGCAGTGGCACAGTATTGGCTCACTGCAACCTCTGCCTTCTGGGCTCAAGTGATTTCCCTGCCTTAGCCTCCTGAATAGCTGGGACTACAGGCATGCGCCACCATGCCCAGCTAATTTTTGTATTTTTAGTAGAGTCGGGGTTTCGCCATGTTGGCTAGGCTCATCTCAAACTCGTGACCTCAGGTGATCCACCTGCCTCAACCTCCCAAAGTTATGGGATTACAGACATGAGCCACTGCATCTGGTCAGTGATACTTTCTAATGTGGCATAAAAGAATTGGTTGGTGGGTGGGCACCATGGCTCATGTCTGTAGTCTCGGCACTTTGGAAAGGCCAAGATGGGAGGATTGCTTGAGCCCAGGAATTCAAAACAACCGGGTCAACATAGCAACAACCCATTTCTAATAAAAATTTAAAATAAATAAATAAAAGAATGGAGCCACACGTGGTGGCTCAAGCCTGTAGTCTGAGCACTTTGGGCAGCTGAGGCGGACAAATCACGAGGTCAGGAGTTTGAAAATAGCCTGGCTAACCTGGAGAAACCCTGTCTCTATTAAAATACAGAAATTAGCTGGGCATAGTGGCGGGCGCCTGTAATCCCAGCTTCTAGGGAGGCTGAAGCAGGAGAATCACTTAAACCCGGGAGGCAGAGGTTGCAGTGAGCTGAGAAACACCCTCTGCACTCTAGCCCAGGGGGACAGAGTGAGACTCCATCTCAAAAAAAAAAAAGAAAGGAAAGAAAAGAAATGGTTTGGTGATTGGATCAATTGCTATCCTTAATAAAAGGAGTCAGTAGCCTGGTGCATTACTTGACATTGCTGCTTTAGTTGGCTTCAGTAATCCCTTAAAATAAAGCACATACTTAGATACAACCCCTTCACACTCCTTAGGTCAAGAACAAAATTCAACTTTTGAAAGCTTTTTGGATAACATCTTTTATGCTCCTTATTCTTCCTTTTTATAATCACACCAGTGGCATCTGAGTACAAATGTTGTAGTTATCTTTGCACCATGGAATTGAATATGAAAACTTTATGCAAAGAATTACTCTGAAGAATACTCAAAAAAACCCATAAAAACCTCTCTATCTTTAGGTATGGATTAATATTGTGCTAGTTTCTTGAGCTAGATTTATAAGGCACGTAACAGTGTATCATTGTTTTATGGCCCCTAAAATATATTGCTTCTTACCTCAGAGTTCGTGAGGGAGATGGGAGAGAGGTGAGGATGGGAGACAAGGCTTCCTCTCTGCTTGAGTGCAGGACATTTCATCTATGTTTCTTGACTGCTTGCAGGACGGCCAGCTAATTGAGTGCCGCTGCTGCTATGGGGAATTTCCATTTGAGGAGCTGACTCAGTGTGCAGATGCTCACTTGTTCTGCAAAGAGTGTCTCATCAGATATGCCCAAGAGGCAGTCTTTGGATCTGGAAAGGTAAGAACTGTGTAATGTCCCATGTATATAGGACACATTCCTGGAGTCTGAGGAGACTATGTTGATAGATAAGTGTAAGTGCCTTTTTAGGGTAAGGTGGAATTCTGTTGGTAAACTTATGTGTGCATTACCTGATTTGCGTGATTATGTTGGTTCTCTAAGTACGGCAGATTTCTTCCCAGGGAATGGTAGAATTCTTCCATGCCCCCATGCCTAGCCCAAAAGGAGCACCTATTTCACTCTTCTTCTTATTCATAATCAAAGTGAAGGTTAACTCAAAAAGAGAGAACCTTGCAGCCTATTTGGTTAAATATATATTAAATTAATGTAACTTTATACAAGATCATGTTTTTCTCTCCAAAGTCAATTTCTCTGAACACCAGCATAACAGAGTATGGCAGTTTTACATTGTTTTATACCACTAAGTTTATGGTATTTTGTTCCAGCAGCTATAGAAAACCAACACAGTGATTAAGAAGATGACTTTTTTTGGGAGGTTGAGGCAGGTGGATCACTTGAGTTCAGGAGTTCAAGGCCAGCCTGGCCCACATTCAAAACCTTGTTTCTACTAAAAATAACAAAAAGTAACCAGGCAAGTTGTTGTACACCTATAATCTCAGTTCCACAGGAGGTTGAGGTACAAGAATCACTTGAACCCGGGAGGCAGAGGCAGAGACTGTGGTGAGCCAAGATGGCACCTCTGCATTCCAGCCTGGGTGACAGAGAGAGACTCTGTCTCCAAAGGAAAAAAAAAGATGACCTTTTGGTGCAGTGGCTTACACCTGTAATCCCAGCACTTTGGGAGGCCAAGGAGGGCAGATCACTTGAGCACAGGAGTTTGAGATCAGCCTAGGGAACACGCTGAAACCCCGTCTCTACAAAAAAAATACAAAAATTACCTGGGCATGGGGGCATGCACATCTGTAGTGTAGCTACTCAGGAGGCTGAGGTGGGAGCCACTACATTCCAACCTGGGCAACAGAGTTAAGACCCCATCTCAAAAAGCTGAGGGCCTTTTTACATCCCCAACCATACATAAGATACATCGACATCTGTCTGGCTAGATATGCTGAGAACTTGCCTTAAAATGCCTATCTTAGGTTTAATCATGAGACAAATCAAATTGAGAGACATTCTACAAACTTACTGGCCAGTACTTTTCAAAAGTGTCAGAGCTGTAAAAGACCAAGAAATACTGAGAAACTCAGGTTAGAAAAGACTAGGGAGACATGATGACTAGATTCCTTGTGGGATCCTGGGCCAGAAGAAAGACATTAGTGGAAAGACCGTTCCCATTAATGGTATCAGGCCACTGTCAACTTCCTGGTTTTGACATAAGATGTTAACATTAGGGGTCAGGAGCTGTGGCTCACACCTGTAATCCCAGCACTTTAGGAGGCTAAGGTGGGCAGATCACGAGGTCAGCAGTTCAAGACCAGCCTTACCAACCTGGTGAAACCCCGTCTCTGCTAAATATACAAAAATTAGCCAGGTGTGATGGCAGGCGCCTGTAATCCCAGCTACTGGGGAGGCAGGAGAATTGCTTGAACCCGGGAAGCGGAGGTTGGAGTGAGCTGGATCGAACCACTGCACTCCAGCCTGGGTGATAGAGCAAGACTCCGTCTAGGGGAAGAAAAGAAAAAAAAATACGTTAACATTAGGGTAGGCTAGATGAGGAGGATACAGGAACTCTGTACTATTTTTGTGACTTTTTATAATTTTAACATTATTTCAAAATAAAGTTTTTGGCTGAGCACAGTGGCTCATGCCTGTAGTCCCAGCACTTTGGGAGGCCGAGGTGGGTAGATCACAGGATCAGGAATTCAAAACTAGCCTGGCACAGTGGCACACACCTGTAGCTCCAGCTACTTGGGAGGCTGAGGCAGAATTGCTTGAACCTGGGAGGCAGAGGTTGCAGTGAGCTGATATCACGCCACTGCACTCCAACCTGGGTGACAGAGCAGGACTCAGTCTCAAAAAATTAAAGTTTTTGTTTTTTCAAAGAGCATGACCTTTGGAGTCAAGTAGCATATGTTGGACCATGCTTACCCTGACCATACCAGCTCTGTGATCTTTAGCAAATTAAATTCCTTATGTCTGTTTCTTCCTCTGAAAAATAGAAATAATCATAACATTGTTTTGAAAGCTAAATGAGGTGATGGATTTAAAGAACTTACTGTTTGACACATGGTAAATGCTTCATTTTAACTAGTTATTTTGTATTGTTGTCTTTTTCAATTTGTTTTCTTTGGTGTCTGTCTTTCATGGGAAGCATTTCTTATGTCTGACACTTTTTATTCACGTTAAAGAGCTGTTTGAAAGCTGTGTGAGTAGTGGGGCTTGTAAACCGGTGAGTTTGACTCTAGGTGCCTATGAGCCAGTTAGCTTTTATGTTATGAACCTGAATGACCCTTCAGTCTCTTCCCTGTGGTAGTTCAGTCTGCCTCCTGCATAGTGGGTGTGGGCCTGTTTTCCAACATTCTGGAACTAAGTGGGAGGAAGGAGCTGGAGAATTAGCTGTTCATTTTGCAAATTTCATTTCAGGCTCTGACTTCAGGCCACCCTTCAGCTCTGCTTTCCTCTATGACTGGTTCCCAGGCCAGAGTCCCGTGGTCCAGTTATTCAGGAAATGTTCTTCGTTTCTCTCAGAGTCTGCCAATTCTTTCTGAAGCGGGTAGGAACTAGAGGCTCCACCCATCTTCCTGTTCAGTTTATTACTTTGAGTCTCCACCCGTCCCACCACTCAGCTCTGCCTTCCAGAGGATCTCCAGCTTTCTAATATCTGTAGAGGAGAACAACGTCTCCCCAGCATCTCCTTTTTAGACCCTAAGCTGTGGACTTCTCTGTCTGGTCTGCTAAGTCATTTACCCTTCTTCCACTTTCCATCTTTGTGGATTGTGATTTGGGCTGGTAGAGATCATCTAGTGATATCAAAGATATACTGGATTTTTGTTTCATGATTTCCTTGATTTAAAAGTGTGATTTCTCAGAGAAGAGCAGGCAAAGATATCTTTGCTCTGCTTGCTGTCTCAGGATCTGTGTTTTTAACCACTGATGCTTTTTATTTTTCTATAAATGGCATTGATTTTTTTCTTTGCCTGTTCACCTTATTCTAGTCGGAGCTCAGCTGCATGGAAGGCAGCTGCACGTGTTCGTTCCCAACCAGTGAGCTGGAGAAGGTGCTCCCCCAGACCATCCTATATAAGTACTATGAGCGAAAAGCTGAGGAGGAGGTTGCAGCAGCCTACGCTGATGAGCTTGTCAGGTTGGTTCTTAAGCAGAGTGTGCCATCTGCCAACCCTTCCCCATTGTGAAAACTACCTGGGCACTTACATCAGATGATGAGAATTGTGTGTGTCTTCCAGATTTCTTGGCATTTCTTGGTGAGAAATAAGAGTATCAGTAATATTTTTTTCATTTTTTTATACCTCAAAACCATTGAGTAACCAGTAATTCTATAAATGGAAAAATCTGCAGCTCAAACTTTTTTTTTTTTTTTTGAGACGGAGTCTCACTCTGTTGCCCAGTCCAGAGTGCAGTTTTATGATCTCAGCTCACTACAACCTCCGCCTCCTAGGTGCAGACTCATGCCTCAGCTTCCCATAGCCTGAATTACAGGCATGCACCACCACGTCCGGCTAATTTTTATATTTTTAGTAGAGATGGTTTCACCATGTTGGCCAGGCTGATCTCAAACCCCTAACCCTGATCAGCCCACCTCAGCCTTCCTAAGTGCTGGGACTACAGATGTGAGCCACCATGCCTGGCCTGCAGCTCAAACTTCTGTCTACATATCTTGGCACCCCCTAATTTTCTGGCCCATAGATATATGGTGCCCTGGGCTAGAGGGAAATTTGTATATGCAAGGAGTACTCGTTAATGTTGGGTCTTGTTTATTCAGTGGTTTGTACTGAGTTAGGACCTTGAGTGCTGCTTATGTTTCCTGATAAAAACCAGCACAAAGAAGAGGCTCAATCTGTGTTTTAAGGAAAACTAAGGAGTATAAAAGGGATGTGAATGTCCAGCTCAAAACTCCCATCTTCGTATGAACAGCCATGTGGAGCTGGAACCAAATCAGGCTTTAATGTTTGAAATAATGTCACTTGTGCTGTTCTGACTCTAGGTGCCCCTCCTGTAGCTTTCCTGCTCTGTTGGACAGTGATGTGAAGAGGTTCAGCTGTCCAAATCCTCGCTGCCGAAAGGTAGGGAGGCAAATTTTTTTCTAGATGTATACTGAATTATGGTATTATGGGCTGCCCTGATGACCCAAATATCTGCTGTTTATCTGACTGCTGATTTATAAGAAGGATTTGAGTGCTTTCCTTTTTGTAAGCAAATGAAGATAGGTACTTTGTAAGTAACAGTTGATGCGGTTACTGAGATGATGGGAGCCACTCGTGGCACTCCAGTTACAAATCTCTGGATTCCTGTTTCATATCATCTTCTTATAAGGACAGATGCTGTAATGTAAAGTGGAAGTGTTTAGTTTTTTTCCCCACTGTGTCAACATTTTTCTTGCTCTTTTCGCTACCTGTGCTCAAATACCCCCCCCCACACACACACACACACATACATATATATATATATATATATATATACCCCTTTTGCCGTTTTCAATGTCCAAGCAACACTTCTTTGATTAAAGAACTGGGCATCATAGTGACATCTCCATCACATCTGGTAGGTTATTTATTTGACTGTTTCTTCTCATAAGAACTGACTATATCAGGTAAGAACAGAGCTATCTAGGCACATTACTGTTATAGGTCTTTCTTCCCTTTAACTTGGCTCCCACTCTGTGAACTAAGAGGGTCTTAAAATTTGTCAACTATTTAGAAGCCACTTAGAGTTTTTAGTGAATATTAACATCCACCTAGACAAATATGTTTTAAGCCATTTTTCTAAAATTACATGATTAGAGTTGAACAGTGCAATCGCTTTGCCTTGGGGAGAGTAAAGAAATTAACGTAGAGATTAGAAAAGGAAGAAGAAACTAAACTAATAGATCAAAACTTTATTTCTTTTTTTTCAGCATTAATACTTCTAGCCATTTTGTATGTTCACACCCCAGGCTGTTGCTATTACAGGTATCCCAACAGTCACTGGTATCTTGCAACTCTAAGAAAACAGAATGCTAGGCTGTCCCTTGTATGCTTCCCGTGGGTCGGGTACTGGACTGCCTGAGGAGGTGATGCCTGTGCTAAGACACAGCAGATAAGGAGGAAGTTGCCAAATGATGGAAAGGGAGGTGGAGTGGAGATGGAGAAATGTTCTTGGCCCCAGGAGTGGCAGCAGCATGGATACTTACTGGTACTAGTAGTGTCAAAGAGGCTTATAAGCTGAGTAGGGGCAGGCTCATGCAGAGCCTTAAGCACTCTCTCCTGAGGTGGGGAGAGGTAAAATATCAGGAGAGTCTACTTGGCTATCGAGTAGTCCAGGTGAGAAATGTACAGTTCTGCATGGCTGCTTAGGTCTTCATGAGTTGCTTAGAAGGAGCTGGGAACTACATTTCCCGGTAAGGTTTCAAATAAGATGGCACATATTTGGACAAGTGAAAGTGCTTATATACAATTAGGAAGGCCAAAGAGGAGAAGAGACCATTATTCTCTGAAGACTTTTTTTTTTCTAAAACAGGGTGTCACTCTGTCACCCAGATTGGAGTATAGTGACACAATATCAGCTCACTGCAACCTCCAACTCCTGAGTTCAAGCAATTCTCCTGCCTTAGCCTTCCAAGTAGCTGGGATCAAAGGCATGTGCCACCACACCTAGCTAATTTTTATATTTTTAGTAGAGGCGAGGTTTCACCGTGTTGGCCAGGCTGGTCCTGAACTCCTGACCTCAAATGATCTGCCCACCTCAGCCTCCCAAAGTGCTAGGATTACAGGCATGAGCCACCATGCCTGGCCTGAAGACATTTAAAAGCAGCCTGCATTCCTTGCTCGGTGGTTCACATCTATAATCTTAGCACTTTAAGAGTCTGAGGCAGGAGGATCTCTTGCGACCAGGAGTTGAAGACCAGCCTGAGCAACATAGTGAGACTATCTCTACAAAAAAAAATTTTTTTAACTCAGCTGGGCATGGTGGTGTGTGCCCATAGCCCTAGCCACCTAAGAGACTGAGGCAGGAGAATCGCTCGAGCCCAGGAGGTTGAGGTTTCAGTGAGCCGTGATTGCGCCACTGCACTCCAGCCTGGGAGACTGAGTAAGACCCTGTCTTTAAAAGAAAAGATTAAAAATAAAAGCCTGAGGGCACACGTGAGTCTGGAACAGCATCTAGTGAGTGTTATAAGAGGGTCAACTTGGGGTGTTGGCGGGAACTTGCCAGGGGCCCTTAGGATTCCAAATAGGAACACCACACATATTGTCATTTCTATCTGTGGGAGGAATATACATGCCCTGCTGAACATGGAGGTGGCCATGTAGCTTCTTTTGGTTCATGAAACATGTGACTAAGTAGGTCACTTGCAGAAAAAGCCATAAAGTCATGTGATGAGGAGTAATGTCAAGATGACAGACCCTTCTTTTCCCATAGAAATACCAGTTCAACAACAGTGTAAGAAATTTAGAAACCAGTTGCATCAAAATTCTCTGTGGGAAATTTAGAAACCAGTTGCATCAAAGGCTAGAGAGTTTGTGATGCTGGGCTCTCCTGAGTTCCTCCCCCTGGCACAGCACCATATATATGATTGGGAGGAAACTCCCAACTCCTGGCCTCTCCCTGGGAAGGGGAAAGAAGATTGGAACTTACATCTAATATTCTGACCTTTCAGGAGGGTACTCAAGGAACTGGTTTCTGTCTTGTCTCACAGGAAAGGGCACCAGTTGGGGGCCACTGAGGACAAATGGGATGGTGGAACCTAGTACATACTAACTCCTCATTGCCCTCTCCCAGCTCAATGCAGAACGAGCAGAAGAAAATTCCCATCTCTCTGCTTCTCTCAGAAGGGAAGGAGTTGGAGCGTGAGTCCAGCATTGTAGGTTTTCTGGAGCCCGCCCAAGACTCTGGTTTCTGTCTCACTTGATGGAACAGTGCTGGGACCTGGTGTGGTCTAAGCCCCTGGGGGCTGCTGAGAACAAGAGAAAGCTGGACGACTTGTACTGCTCCAGAGGACCCCATGGTACAGTCGGCAGAGTCCAGTGCACCTCAAAGGCTGCTTCTTGGGTCCAGAGGAAGGGAAGAGTAGAGCATGTGTCTAGCTTTTAGGCTTCTCAAGGGGCTGCCTGAGGGACTGGCGTCTGTCTCACCCAATTCAGTGCTGGCAGAACCCAACCTACTCTAGATGTCTGGGAGCTGCTGAGGCCAAAAAAAACAAAACAAAAGCTTGAACACTTACATTAGCCTATAGTTTAGCAAAATCTTCTTGCACAAAGCCTATTTTAGAATAACGTATGAGTATCTAATGTAATTTATTGAATACTGTACTGAAAGTGAAAAAGAGAATGATTGTATGGGTGCTTGAATTAACAGTTTCTACTGAATGTGTATCATTTTCACACCACAGTAAACTCAAAAAATATAAGTTAAAGCATTGTAAGTTAGAGACCATCTGTATGTGCGCCCAACATCAGTGCACCCAAATACATGAAGCAAATACTGATATCTGAAGGGGAAAATACCAACACAAAAATAGTAAGAGATTACTTACAGTACCTCATTTTCAATCATTGTTAGCACCACCAGACAGTTAAGTAAGGAAACTGCTGACTTGAACAACACTATAGGCCTAACAAACACGTACAAAACATTGTAGCCAATAGGAACAGAAAACACTTTGTCTCCTATAGTGCACATGGAACATTTTCAGGATAGAGAATATTAAATCATAATACAAGTCTTAACAAATTTAAGATCAAAATCATATTAAGTATCTTTGCCAGCCACAAGGGAATAAACTTAGAAATCACAAACAGCAAGAAAATTCACAAAGTAAGAGAATAAAGAACACTCTTCGGGCATGGTGGCTCCCGCCTGGAGTCCCAGCACTTTGGGAGGCTGAGGCGGGTGGATCACCTGAGGTCAGGAGTTCCAGACCAGCCTGGCCAACATGGGGAAACTCTGTCTCTACTAAAAATACAAAAAGTAGCTGGGTCTAGTTGTGTATGCCTGTAATACCAGCTACTTGGGAGGCTGAGGTAGGGGAATCACTTGAACCCAGGAAGCAGAGATTGCAGTGAGCCGAGATTGTGCCACTGCACTTCAGCCTGGGCAGTATAGTGAGACTCTGTCTCAAGTACATAGACACACACACACACACAAGTGAGACTGTCTGAAAAACACACACACTGAAAAGTTTTTTTTGCTAAGATCAGGAACAAGGCAAGGATAGCCAGTTTCACCACTTGGGTGCTACATAACACTGGGAGCTCTAGCTAGAGCAATTTGGCAGGAAAAAGCAAAAGCATCCATATCCATGAGTTTCACAGATAACATGATCTTACACACACAAAAATTGTTAGAACTAATAAATTCAGCAAAGGTACAGGATACAAAATCTGCATATAAAAGTGAGTTGCATTTCTATACACTAGCAAACACTCCAAAAAAGAGAAATGTAGGAAATCCAATTTATAGTACATCTAAAAAAGAATACTTAGAAACAATCAAGGAGTGGAGAAAGACTTACACATGGAAAATTACAAAAAATTGCTGAAATAATTAAGATATAAATAAATGGAAAGGCATCCCTAAAATGCATATGGAACCACAAAGGATCCCAAATAGCCTAGACAGTCTTGAGAAAGAAGATCAAAGCTGGAGGCCTCACACTTCCTGACTTCAAAACATATTACAAAGCTACGGTAATGGAAACAGGCAGACGTGTAAACCAATGGAACATAATACAGTCCTCAAAAATAAATCCACACATTTATGATCAGCTGATCTTCAACAAGGGTGCAGAGAATGCACACTGGCAGAAAAGGTAGTCTCTGATTAATGGTGCTTGGTAAACCAAATACCCACATGCAAAAAAATGAAATTAGACCCTCATACCATATCTTATACCATAACACAAAAATCAACTCTTTAAATGGATTAAAGCCTAAGACTTAAGTGTAAGACCTGAAACTATGAAAACTAGAAGAAAACATAGGTGGAAAGCTTCATGACATCAGTCTTGGCAGTGGCCTCCTGAGTATGATACCAAAAACAAGGTGACAAAAGCAAAAAATAGGCACGTGAGACTACTAAGATGCTTTCA